TTTTATTTAACTTCACATGAGCCATTAGAATAAGTTTAAAATGACATACTCTATTGATCAAGAAAAGAAATATATAGGAAAAACGTTATATAACAAGGACATGAAATGTGTGTTTAGTGCCTAGGTTGTATCCCAAAAAGTCCAATACTCATTATTTAACCAAACAAACTTAATCAAAAATTCAAGACAAAAGCTAGGCGTGTACATTTAATTGGGCTATGCATGAGTTTAACTTCTATGGATTAATATTGTGAAACAAGTCATCTTATAATAAGGTATTTATATGTAAAAAGTTTTTATAAGTATAATTGATAATTAATTTAATAAAATAATAACTAACCTACTATTAGAGCTTAAAATTCACGAATATTGTAAAAATTTTGCTAGTCAATATATATATAACTTAAATCTTAGGCAAATAGTGAAATGAAGTGCCTCTTTAAAAATAGTTTCGTCCACCCCTCCCCACCCCCAACAAGCAAAAAGAAAAACTTCACCTAATGCATACACCAAGAATAGTAATTTAAATTTAGGAGTCATATGTAAATAAATAAAAAGATTATATTAACTTGGTACCCTTTTTTTGTTAATTATAGAGTTGAATGTGCCAAAATTTTGATTGGACAAAAGATACTGCCAAGACTTGCATGGAAAAGAAAGAGCAGCGATTTGACTTAGAATAGACTATTTAGGAGATAATACTCTTTATGGGACCATTAGATTTGAATTAGACACCATTTAAGATTATATTAGGATAATGTCACTTATAAATTTATTTTTAAAAAAAATTGTTGCTAGCGCAATGACTTCTTCTAAATTATAGTGTGGTCCAACTATAATTTTGTAGATCACAAATTTAGAAAAGAGAAATCTCGAGGGAGGGGTCCCATCAATAAGTATATAATAAAAATATTGACATTTATTAGGATTGGAGCTTAATTCTGACCTCCTCCATTTTGTACTGCTAATAATTTTTCTTAGCAAATGTTGTTGCTACTTGCTACTATAGGACCATTTTGAAAAGCTTCAAACACTGTGTATGACTCTGATTTATTTATTTATTTATAATTAATCAAATCTTTCGTGCGATAAAGATAGAGAAATATAAATTAGTCAACAAATTAATCGGTGGAGGTCAAAATATCATGATCTTTTTTGGGTTTTATTTTTCAAATTTATTTTTGAACATTTCGTGTAAAATTTGAATATTGGATTGAGAATGCTACGGTTGATCATCCAACTAGTACGGACTTTATCTACTATGATTAATTATTCATCTCATTACATTTATTTTCTTATTAATTTTGCATATGTATTGGACTTGAACAAGCTAAGTTGGTTAGAGTTATTTTACCTAACAAAATATTAGTAATAAATGTACTCTTTTTAATCTTTTTTACATCTAATGAATGTTTTGTACTCATAAACCAACTTATACCAACTTTTAGTTTAAGTGTTTTTCCATTCATAACGGATCTTATCTTGTCACTTAATTTTTTTACTCTTTAGTAATATATATAATTATCACAAGTCAAACTTTTCTATCTTGTTTTAACCAACTCAAGATATAATGCTATGTTAGGATTTCATTCATGGAAAATTTTCCCCTCTTAGTTGACAAATTTTTGATTCTTTTAAAATAAAATTTGAAGGATACACTCCTTTGGAAATTAAAGGTTAAAAAATTTTAAGTTGCAAAAAAAATTGGTCAAAAGATTCATAAACGATGAATCTTAATTAGGTCATTATAAAATCTTAGTGATGAATGCAAAATCATGCTATTATCACAATTCATGTGCACACATACGCAATATACACGTAAACTTAGGATATGCTATTTAATCATCTCGTAACGACCATTTTATTTAGTCATCTTTTAAGACGAAGTAATATACATGCATAATTACGTTTAGTAGCGGAACTACATTCAGTGAAGGATAGTTAATTTAACATCTTTCATTGAATAATTATATCGGGTGCATAAGCTAAATATTACTTTTTATTCATATATATTCAAATTTTAAATATTTTTAACGAAATTTCTTTATTTCACCGCTGATAACGTTGTATGCTTCCCATATTATAAGTATATGTACAACTAATTCGTTCCATGCAACGAATGTAAGTACAAATATCGTGTTTTGCAACCCAAGTTCAACCATAGGAATAATTAAAAACACGTCTACAACATTAATAATATGCATCACCATATATATATTATGGTCATATTCGTATCATATTCAAACTGTACTGACTCTTTATCTTTTCTTACCTGGAGGGG